AAAAAAAAAAAAAAAAAAAAAATCTTGCAAATGAAGGGATCTCTGCCCATCAGGGAAGGCTTCTAAGCTAAAACTGAAAGCTGAGTGGCTGATTAGGGATAAAGGGGATATGCAAAAGGTCAGAGAAAAATGAAGACACTAGAAGTTTCTCTTTTAATAAAAAAGTAAATGCAGTCCCAAAGAGTTTAAGTGATTTACCTGAAGTCACATAGCCAATAGAGGACCCCAAACAGGGTTTCCTATCTCTTTTTTTATTTTTAAAGTTTAGACAGGTCTAGCTCTGTCTCTCAGGTTGGAGTGCAGTGGCATGATCATAACTCACTGCAGCCTTGATCTCCTGGGCTCCACTGATCCTCCCCTCTCTGCCTCCAGAGTGGCTGAGACCACAGGCATGCACTACCATGCTCAGACTCCTATCTCTTTCTGCTATATATTATATGACCCTCCTAGAAGGGTTTAGTTTTAGAAAAGGACCCAGTGACAGTTCTGTAGACGAGTTCTTAGGGAGTGTTTCTCTACTAGTGGAATATAAGTCACTGTGCCATGTGGATGAAGAAAAATAGTCCATGACAGGGAGGGTCTTCCAAGTCCTTCTCTCGTCACATTATCCAAGGCTTTGCCACCTTCGATGTCAAATCCCAATTCCAGTTCTGACTTTGCCTACTACTTTCGGATGATCCTAGGTTCTTTAACTAGTGCCAGACAGCACTACCTATGTCCTACTCTCAACATCTCTGTGCAAAAATGTGGCAAGCCAGCAGCCTGCAGGCTTAGTTCAGACTGCATAGCAATTTTACGTGGTCTGCATCCTCAAGTGTTGTTTAAAAGCAAAACTAAACAAAATTAGAAGTGTTGCCAACATTTTACAATTGGAAGATTTTACACAACAATCTTTTTTGCTGCCATCTTTTGAAACATTGGCATGTTTATGGCATTGTGCCCACTTTTTCACAAGGCAACAGAGGCAGGAAGTTAGTAGCAGCTGGTACGCTTTGACAGAAGCACTCTCTAGTTAGCTACCGCTCCCACCCCGCATGCTTCTGCCATTTATATAATTTAGCAGGCATGACTTTGCCATCCTTTCATTTATTTTGTGGTAGATAAAAGACCATTTCACAAGATTCCGGAAAATGTTGACTTCCAAGCTCTTCTGCCTGAAAACATTTCAAAATCTTAGGTTTGGTTTTATAATCTTCCATTTTATTTATTTATTTTTATTTAGAGACAGGGTCTCACTACATTGCCCAGGCTGGACTCAAACTTCTGGGCTCAAACAATTCACCTGCCTTGGCCTCCCAAGTAGCTGATACTACAGGCATGTGCCACCAGTCCCAGGTTTATACTCTTTCTTTTGTAATGAAAACTGGGACTTGCAAAATTGCAACAACCATTTTTCTTTTGAAGAATTAATACAAACCCACTGGAGTTCAAGAACATTGTCAGCATCACCCAATTATTATGGTTTCTCAAAAGCTTTTTAAAAGTCATTTACTCATAACATTCTAGGACTGAATGGGAACAAAATGCTATATAATTAAATGCTCACACTATATTTCCCTTTCTGACCTTTCTTTAGGTGGTGATGCAGGTATGCTTGATTATTTCCAGTGATGGGGAACCCTCTGAGGGTTCATTTTTTACAAGCTTGACTGCTAGAAGGCAAAACAGAGCCAAAATTTATCTCCATGTAGCCTTCACTCATTGGCCATAGTTTTGTTTCTTGGAAACTTGAGGGAAAATTCTACTTGTCATCCAGCATAATAGCCCTTCAGATATGTGAAGTAGTTATCATGCTTCTGAGGCTTTTTTAACCCAGCAGTATATCCTCAGTTCATTCATTGTTCAGATGTTTTGAGCCAGCCTCCTGGTCAGTCTTCTCAATGCATGTTCTCAATGCAGTTACAGTCTTCTCAATGCAGTCTTCTCTCAGTGCAGTCATAGTCTTCTCAATGCAGTCAGTCTTCACAATGCATGCTCTGGTTTGCATGCATCTGGTTTACATCAGTTCCTTCGCTCTCTGCACATGCATGCTGCTTCTCATAACAAGACGTAGAATCCATTTTCCCTGCCTTTTAATCTGAGCTGGCCTCACAGTAGCCAGTTTCATCCTTAGCTTTTAAAAGGGCTGGCAGCTTCTGCTGTCTTCCTCTTGAAGCTGACAACTATGTAAGAAGTTTGACTACTCTGAGGTCACTATACTGTGAGGAAGCCCAAGTTATCCGTGGGGAGAGACCTCATGGAGAGCATGATCACTGGCCAACCTCAGCTTTCCCACCTATCCCACCTAAGAAGCCAAAAGTGTGTGAAGAAGCATCTTAGTTATTCCAGCCCTAAAATCTTTCCATTCTGGCCCTATCCACATTGCAAAGTCATAAAAAATGATACATTGTTGCTGTTTTAGCCCCTAGCTTCCCTTGGTTTGTGAAGTAGCTACAGGTAGCTGGAAACCTTGCAAGATATTTATAACCCCTTTTAATTGCTGCAACAAGGCTATAGACATGTTCTTTTCATTTTCTCATTAAAGACAGGCCAACATTTATGGGGTCAGGCAAACATTTTCTCCAATTTTGCTGCTTTTTCTTTTTTCTTTTTCTTTATAAAACTCTTTTGACTATAGAAACATATGAACAAAAATGATTAATCATTGGTAATATCAGGAGGCTACTAAATTGGCTAAAAAAAAAAAAACTGAGACAGGAGCAAAACAAAGCTGACAGTAGAAATGTTTAAAAAGTGGTTCTTCAGGGTATTTCTGGAGACCCAAACACAGGGTCTTTACTCATTTCTGATTGATGCTGCCTGAACCTAAAGTTAAGGTGATTGTCTAAATCCTGACCAATTGCCATAGACTACAACTCAGATCAAACCATGTTGGAGGCAGCGATTCCTACAGGGTAGCAGAGCATCACCAGGGAAACTGACAATGCAGACAACTGTGTGATTCATGGAGGAGACTGCCCCCACTCACAGCAGGATTAGGTGCCTCTGCAAAAAAGAAATTACCTACTTTGTATCCTTTTACTTCCGACTCATTATCCAGGGCCTTCACTTGATCCCAATTCAGGATAATTTTGGAGTCCGATGAATTCCATATGATGTTTCCAGGGGGTTGACTTGGTGCTATAAAAAAATTAAGATATACGAAGTCACAGATTATTAAGTCTCAATGGATTCTGAGGAATATCTCCTTACTAGAATTCGAGAGTGGAGGCAATTTAATGGGCTATTGCACTAATATGTGTCTTCAAGGTCACTAAAATCTGATGAGATACAGCATTGCAAATGGAAAAAGATTCAGTTGGTCGCCTAACATTTATAGCTAAAAGAAGCAGCCCTTCCCAGTGAGGAGAAAAACATTTCTCTTTCTGTCCTCCAGAGCAATGAATTTTGCATGGTATACGGAAAGGTTCACTTAAAATGCTGAGGGAAATTTAAATCCACATGCTACTAATTAGTATGCAAACGACCATTGGGAGGTGGGGATAAGGAATAAACTTGGGATATATGTGATGAGTACCCAAAATATTTCTGAGCAAGTCTGTTCTTACGTGGCTTTCGGGTTGTCACATTGACTGTTGCACTAGAGGGGCCTGTCCCAGCAGAATTATATGCCTTGACAGCTAAGTGATACAGCGCACTGCCTTTTAAGTTCGTGATTTTTGTTGATGTCTGATTTCCAACTGTTCGTATTTTTCTAGCATTTTCTTCTTTGTCTTCATGTCTCCAATACTTAACCTAAGAAAAGAAACAGAAAGACCTTGGAAACCATACCCAGTGGGGATATTTCCAATGTCATCAGGTGATTTTGTATGCAGATTCTTATGATGGAGTTAGTTTTCTATACCACATTACGAGCAGAGCTATCAGGACAAAGGACTGCGTATATCCTGAGAAATTATCCACGGTAAGAAGGGTCCCTTTTTTGTCCTCAGCTTCCTAGTGAGATGGTAGATTGATACAACCCCTGTTCATTATTTTCTTTTTTCCCATGTTTGTTTTGAGTCAAAGCTATCCTGGGAATTATCAGAAGTCAAAGCTCATTTTGCCAGCCATCCCATAAATGCTTAGATTTGCATATACTTCGAAAAATACTTCTAGAATATAACATAGAAAAAGGGTAGTCTCACAGCTGAGTATTCAATGCTTCCATCAATGTTCAGCTGGAAGCCAGGCCTAAAACCAATGCCTCTAAGTGGGAATGTGGGTCATTTCCTATAAGAATGTGACTTGGAGGACTCATCAAGGGGTACAAATTCTCTTTCAGACCCAAGGCACATATGTCTTGCCTACCTCATAACCTTGTATTCGTCCTCTATTCTTCTCCAGTGGCGAGGCCCAGAAAACTTCAATATCTGTGGCAGAAAGACTTCTGGCAAAGATACTGGCTGGTGGTTTGGTGGGTTCTGTAGATGAATATGGAGAGTTATTACTCTATCAGCTATATTAGGACAGGATTGTAGATACTAGCGTTATAAGGTAAAATAATTCACGGTTATAGAATCGTCCTTAATGATTGTAAGCCAAACCCTCATTTTGCAGAGGAGCAGTGATTGATAGCTGGAGTTGGTGGTAGTGAATATTTGTCCAGTGTTTGGGTTTTGAATTTAGGTGTGGGTAGAAGAGAAGAACCACTTAAGTTTAAGCACCAAGTTTTCATAACCAGCAATTCCCTTAACACAGATCCTTCTCAATTAGCATCTCACAAATGTTATTGCTTATGACACGGCTAAACTGCTTTTATTTTTCTTTTTTGAAATAGGGTCTCCCTCTGTCACCTAGGTTGGAATGTAGTGGCACAGTCATGGCTCACTGCAGCCTGACCTCCTGAGCTCAAGCCATCCTCCCACCTCAGCCTCCTAAGTAGCTAGGACCACATGCATATGTGCCAAGACGCTTGGCTTTTTTTTTTTTTTTTTGGTAAAGACTGGAATCTCGCTATGTTGCCCAGGCTGGTCTCAAACTCCTGGGCTCATGCTATCCTCCCACATCCCCCTCCCAAAGTCCTTGGATTATAGGCATGAGCCACTGTGCTTGGCCACTAATTTTTGTTTTAGGGAAGACTATTGAAAGAAAAATGTTAACATATACAAATGGTATACACAGCTATGGCAGAAATCTGTCAAAAATAACTGAAATTTGGGAAACAGTCAGTCTAGTCTCTCCTTTGCAACCAAAGATGCTGAGGCCCAGAGAGTATACGTGACTCATCCAAGATAATACAGATTGCAGTGTGAACCCGAAGTGTCACCCAGCTCTCCTGAATATTAGTCATGTCAGCTGACTGTCCTTTTCCCCTTTTCCTCTCATTTTCATAATCCAGAGACATGAACTATTATCTAAGAGAAGTTGAAGCCTATGCAAAGGGCTGAAGCTTGTTTGAATAATTGTAAATCCTTTGGCAATGGTTGGAACATGAAATATGCAGGGAAAGGCATCAACAGCTCAGTCAGACAGAGAGGCAGCAGCTAGATCATGGAGGGCTACTGAATCTAAGGGGATGATCTCTCTAATTGGGAATAAGTTATTGCATCTTCACTGACTCTAAATCAATGATTCACCTTTCAGATGTTTTAACATGGTCCCATTCCGAGCATCATCTTTAAAACAACATAGACAAACTCCAATGGTCACAAAGACTGTGTGAGAGGCATCCTGACAGCAGGGATAGCATGGAAGTGGTAATAATGTGTGAGAAATGTTAAACATAATGATGGTATGGATGATAGTGAGTGCAATCACACTGCTTCATGGCTTACTCTTTTCTTTAATAAGTGAGTTTTTTTTTTTTTTTTTTTTGAGATGGAGTTTCACTCTTGTTGCCCACACTGGAGTGCAATGGTGTGGTCTCAGCTCACCACAACCTCCGCCTCCTGGGGTCAAGCGATTCTTCTGTCTCAGCCTCCTGAGTAGCTGGGATTAGAGGGATGTGCCACTACAACTGACTAATTTTATATTTTTAGTGGAGATGGGTTTTCTACATATTGGTCAGGCTGGTCCCGAACTCCCAACCTCAGGTGATCCGCCCGCCTTGGCCTCCCAAAGTGCTGGGATTATAGGCATGAGCCACAAGTACAATAT